GTACACATTCTCTCAACCCCTGTTTCTACAAGGGTGGTCCTCTGTATGCTTCAGACCAAATCTCGTTTACTTCATCTCCAGACAAGAAGAGTGCCCCAAGGCTGACTCCTGGGCCCACTTTAGTTGATTAAAACCTCAAGTAAACCTCTGCTTCCCCCGTTAAAGATCTCTTTCTGCTAATGTAGGTATTGCCCAAAGCTAATCCAAGGACACTGCGGTACCATACCATTTAATTTAGCTGATGGAGTCACACTTCAAGAAAGCAACCCCTAATGAAGTTGTTCCCATCTCCTTCATCTCTTGGAAACCTTTGTTACTGGCTGATTGTAAAGCCCATTTCTCCAATCACTTCAGGCCTCAAGGAGATTGTGTAGCCATTGTGCGCTCTTGCCCTGTCAAGCTAACCCCTTGTCCTAATCCCACTGTGTCGCCTATTTAAGGCCAGGAAATAAGAGACCCGAGCTGACTAGAGGTAATCTAGGACACCAGCTGCTTAGCCTGGAAGACCGCCCTTGTTTATTGACTGCCCTGTCTCGGCCTAATCAGTGTTACAGTTGCCCACCAGGGTAAGAACGGGGGTGGAGGCTGACTATGATTGTCTCTGATGTAATATTATGTTTCATATGCTTGATTAGTTGGGCCTAATTAGCTAAAGCGCTTGTAGGGTGATTATCAACCCAGACAAATGCCAGTTGTCATTTGGCAACATCGTTGGCTTAATCAAGATTACACTACAGAAATCCTTTAAGCATTCATAATTCTGTACATAATTTTGTCTTGTTTGATAAACAGCAGTAATTGGATTTCAGTTCTGGTAGGAAATGCAAAAACAGCTTTGTTAATGAAGGAAGTGGCATGTAGCGGCTCTTGTGATTTGTGTAATGGGGAGGTTGACTTTGTAACCACTGTTGAAAGTTGCAATGAAATGGAAGTAGCGACAGATGTTTTCTTAATGTAACTACATCCGAGTGTAACAGATTATCTAAAAAGAAAAATATCTTACAATGATTCTTTACCTTGGTTTTTAAGACTGGTTAATTTGTTACTAAACAGTCATTTTTAAATGGGGAACAAATGTCCTTCAGGCATGTGCACTCAGAAAACTGTATATCAGAAGTTTGAACTGGCAAGGTTTTAAAACGCATGCAAATAATAAACTTTGATGATGATGGAACAACTGCATGTGAGTGTAGCGCCACAGTAGAATATTAAAAACCATAATAATAAAAAACAGCACTTGCAACTGATAGACTTTGCACTGTAGCACAACACTAATGATCTCTCTGTAAAGGCAGATTGTGGAGACGTTTTCTTCTTTTATCATCTAATATAGTCATGCTGTACACCTTTAACTTGGTTCTATGCATCGGTTGTTGATGTGGACGTTGCACTTTAAAAGTGGAGGCAGATAAACGTGAGTTTACAGAGGCGAGGTTAAAGCAGATTACATGATTGATTAAATGAAGTCCTGCATACATCATCTGTCATTTTCACTGGAAGGTCCAGCTATGACATTTTCATTAAACATTATGTGATCTTTTCTTTTTTTTTTTTTTATAAAACCCATGTATAAATGAATTGTTCACAGTACGATCTATAGCTTGCAATTAGAAAATTACTTGGGGTGAAATTTCATTGCATGCCGAATATGAGTCCAATTTAAATCTCACCAAAAAAAAAAAAGAAACGCATCAGAAATAACTCCTACTCTTTTGTTGCTTTGGGAATAAAAGTCCAGGTGCTTTAATAGCTGGGCTGATATTATTACAGTATATTGAAGCGTATTGGACCAGAAGTCCATTGACTTTTCCGATGACATCGAGACTTGGCTGTAAATGTGAATAATAATTTCTTGTGTGTGAAACTGTGAACAGGACTCACTGTCAAAATGTCATCAAATCAGTGCTGACAATGCCAAACCAAGCTGTTAAAGTTCTCTATCGATGGTATGTGTGAACAAAGCCATACTATTAGGCATGCACGTTGAAGCATGTACAAGGTTGTGATGCTCTGGTGTACTTCAATGAGTTTGACCCAGTCACAGAGTTTGACGCAATTAGGGCTCGTTCACACAAAAAGCGTTTTTGCTTTGAAAAACGCAAGACGCGGGCAGTGGAATGGGGAAAAAACGCACGATCTCGAGATGCGTTTTTTAAAAGTTAAACTGATTTTAAAGTTTTTAGAATGCTGTGTCATTCGCGAGGCACTGCAAAAGACTCAAGACGCGAACGCAACAGTTATACACGTCCGTCTAGCTCGAGTTTACATAGAAAAACAATAGAAAAGTCAAATGTGTTCTGTGTGAATGGGCCCTTAGACTTACAAGTAAATTTCATGGACTGTGTGACAACATCATGAACAACTGTATAAATTGCGCATTCAACGGCATTTTGGTGGTGAATAACAGATGCCTTTACCAGAAAAGTTAATCCAGTAATATTACAAGAATTTAGTGTAAAAGTTGCTAATCTGTTGGAGGTAGAGAACCTGACACTTAACTCTTTCTAAAAGTAACTAAAGAAACTATTGTGGACTTGGAGAGAGGCCCCCTAGTGAGAGTGAAAGGCTTCAAGTATCTCAAGGTACACTCCTCAGAGAGCTTTACATGGACCACACACACCACAGATTAGTTGGGAGGCCACAATAGTACCTCTACCTTTGGTGCCTGGGGATGTCCCGGATGGCCCCCATGATCTTTGTAAAGGTGCACAATTAAAAATGTTCTCACAGGTAGACCTACTGACCGGTGTGTAAGTTCCAGACACAAAAAAATGGTAGAGGATGTGTGAATTGGATAGCAATAGCTTTAAAGGGATAGTTCACTTTGAAATTAATTTTTGATATGTTTGATATAGCTTACCTCAAGGGCATCCAAGATGTAGGTGTCTTTGTGTCCACAGTATTTTCAATTTTGATATTTTTAGGTCAAACCGTTCTTGTCTGTCAGTCATATAATGCAGGTCTATGGTCACCACCTCAAAGAGCATGCACAGAGAAGTCCAAATTAAACATGATTTAATGACTCGTAAATGTAAGTACACATTGATGGCCTAAGACATGAAACGAGCGGTTTGTGTGAGAAAACGAACAGTATTTATATAGTTTTTACCTCTTGTAAACACAGCCACGTCCAAGTGATCTGATGGCGCGGGCGCTTCGGTCTTTGCCGGAAGTGATCTCTCGCGCGTGTACGTCACTCATACAATTGTTTTATTTTTTTACAAATTTTTTATTGTTTTCTTTTACGACGGTTTAAACATCCCGGATAAGCGCAAATTAGTACCCTTTTAATTAGCCGTCTTACCTACAATCTCTGCTCTGTGTAAACATTAAAGAGTGACGTACACGCGCGAGAGATCACTTCTGGTGCTTTCCGGAAAAGACCGAAGCGCCCGCGACCTCAGATCACTTGGACGTGGCTGTGTTTACAAGAGGTAAAAACGATATAATACTTTTCCTTTTCTCACACAAACCGCTCGTTTCGTGTCTTAGGCCATCAATGTGTACTTACATTTACGAGTTATTAAATCATGTTTAATTTGGACTTCTCTGTGTATGCTCTTTGAGGTGGTGACCATAGACCTGCATTATATGACTGACAGACAAGAACGGTTTGACCTAAAAATATCAAAATTGAAACTACTGCGGAAACAAAGACACCTAAAAAATTAATTTCAAAGTGAACTATCCCTTTAAAATCATGTATTTTCACTTTCATCTGTGTCAGGGAAGAAAAGTAAACACATGGTCGACTGGTCGTGAAGAGTTGCATTTGTTTTTTGGAATGACAAAATGACAATAAATAACAGAATTTTCACTCGGGTGAACTATTCATTCCGATTTTGAGCACAGACCAGCAATAGACGTACTGTATCAATATGCAAAGGTTGCCGCGGTTTCTTGTCAAAAAGAGAAAATATTTGGATTTTATTTTTTTATAAAAAAATAAAAAAAAATACTAGGCTAAGTGACTGTCCTAACCACAACCTATCAACACACTTGTCAAAGCCACACGTTTTACCTGTTGTGGTGTGGGTCTATCTATGCATTACAAGTGAATTAACTGAAAGGCTGTCAGGAAAGTGTAAACAAATTCATTAAATTAATTCACAATATGCACACATTCATTCTTAATATGCCTAGTATGTTATAAATGGCTCTGGTTGAGTTGTTTGCATCCCTGAAAATTAGGCTACTGCTAGTCGTTTAACATTTCGGTAGCACTTTATTTTACAGTCATGTTTACATACTTATTATAGTAATTGCAATAACTGGGTTATAACTAATAACACTAAGTACACGTAAGGTCATGTACTGTAAAATAAAGTGCAACCTATCGTAGGCTAAAACAGTTGTCAAATTGTAAATGTTTAGCTTAACATGCACCAATGCTAAATTTCCTATATACGATAAAAATTGTTCACAACTTGTAATAATTACTTCAATGAGCTCATTGTTTCTGCTTACAAGTAAATGTGAATTAAATTGAATTGAATTAGCTACGGGCATCTTACATCTCAATTGCAGGATGTAAGTTCAGCTTTGCCATCACAGGAATACATTTCATATTAAAATATATTAAAGTACAAAAGTTTTAGTAAACTGTAATATTACAGTAATCTTGGTTTGGATGACTGTTTCTCTTTTCAAGCTCATCTTGAAGATTTATTTATTTATTTTAGTTTGTTCTGAAGCTAGCATGCTTTAACTTGCTCAGTGAATGTGAGATCTCCATATTCAGTAGTCCTCTGAGAGACAGAGACCGAGACAGGCAAATAGAGTGAATAAGAGCTAGACGTGAGATTACACGGGATTGGGTTGCCAGGTGCCTGCCCAAACTGTGCAAAAACATTATTTGAGTATCTGGTTAACCCAGAAAACAGTGAGACATTAATCATGTGACCGGCACAAGATCCACACTACTTAATTCAGTTGCAAATGCACTGATTCACTAATTGAATTGTTTGCAGTCGATTAACATTTAAATTTTGTCGTTCTAGGAAGAGAACTGTGGGTCTTAATACTGGGTCAACATCCGAGAGAACACAGAACAGGCATCCCAGAATTCAAATATGTGGGAAACATGCACGGAAACGAGGTAATGCAGCTGTGTTCCTTTGTTATTTATTACAGAACATGGTTTTATTTTCAACAGGTCTTGCATTGTAAGCAGTTTAGTAGTACTGATCTGCTTCTAAAGAACCCAGTCTGGCATGTCTGTTTTCTTTAGATCGGGCTAAATTAGGAATTGGAGGCTTCTTTAAATAGATCCAGCTCTTCGTTTGTTTAGTTTTTTTTTCTTCTTCTTCTTTTCTTATTTGGGCGAGAAGGGGCCAGTGCTGGTCTGAAGGGGCGTATTTGGTAAGGGGTGTGTGGGAAAAGCGGTCTGTGCACAAAAGCATTACAGTCCGAGGAACCGGCCGGGACGCCAGTGAGGAGCAGTGGACTGTGACCCTCACTGGGAAAAAAATAAAAAAATAAAAAACAAGGTGGGCTGTATAGGGGGGATCTTTTCACCAATGTGCTCTGCCTCCACACCCACTCAGAACTATTGTGAATTCAGTACTTCCTGTCTTTGTGAGAAGACTAAACCAAATTTGCTGAAGAAAAACTGTGCTTGGAATTACTATTGGAGGAATGGGCTGGAAAAGCTTTAGGAGAGAGATTTTTTGGGAAAAAAGGGTCACACTTTTTTAGATTAGGGTACAATTCTCACTCTTAACTAAATATTAACTATAGCCACGTTTCCACCACAGGAACTTTCCCCAGGAACTAGTAAGTTTGGGGGTGGGACTCGACTCGTGTGTTTCGACCACAGGGATCAGGGTCTAAATGAAGTTCTGGGTAAAAATGTCCCCCTCAGAAAGTCCCTGCTTGCGGGGTAGTACTTTTTCAAAGTTCAGGAACTTTCGGGGGAGGTACTTGGGTGCCGAACATGCTGATTGGTTGAGTTCATGCTGCATTTTGATTGGTTGACTCCACGCAGCATTTCATTTCAACCACCATTTTTACCAATCTCTTGCGGTGCGTGCAGTCCTAAGTCATCGGACTAATTTGCTTAATCTTCACGGTACTTTAGACCGCGGTGGAAAAGCAAAAAGCAACAGGTCTGGGGGGAAAAAAAGTTCCTAGGACAAATTGTCCAGGGTAATTCCGGTGGAAACGCTGCTTATGACTTTTGCCTCAATAAATCCTAATTAGTGAGGTAGCGAATCTTTCTAATCGGTTAAATCCAGCCAAAGTCCAAGTTCCTTTGGGATCTTTTGACTTTTGATTTGACTTTAGTCAATAAGCAACCACCTAGAATGCAATAACAACACATTAAAAAACTCTGTGAACATCTGTAATCATCTTCGAACATCATCATGTTGCGTACTGCAGTATTCTGTGTCATTTTGTAGTCAAGTTTTCTTTAAGTTTTTTTTTTTTTATAATATTTTTTTTTCAAAAGTTTTCACGTATATCAGTAGCGCTACTGTACATTTGTCAAATGACCTTTTAAATTTAGCCAGTCAAAGCCTAACTTGTCTGGCACCATGGTGTCACCTAATGAGACCGCATCCTGTCTGACGTTTTCAGATCATGCAAATGCAAGGAAGGGAGGTGCATTTCATAAAACTGTAAACATGTAAACATTACTCAAATTAGTCACCTAAGCATTACCCATCAGCATCCATGAGTCATCTCATGAAAAGAGGTGTGCGAGAACTTTGATACACCACTAAAGTGCTCCTATAATGGTCCGAGTCTCTTAATGACCCCATAAGACAGAACATGATCCTTTTGTTATAAACCAGAATGGCAAAAAATCTCTTTTAAACATCTAGCTAAAGAGAGCGTTCAGACTGTAAACACAGACAGTGCTAGTATGGATTACGGAGGGATGAAAGAAGAGAAGAGAGGGGAATTATCCATTACATTAATGCATTACTCAGAATAAACATAAATAATTGCATTAATTCAGGCATCATTTATAAAACAAACAGAATTAATCTGTGTTGAATCTATTGCAACAATAGCTTGTTTGTTCATGAAGCTCAATTTAAGAGCATAGCTTTAGCAATATCAAGCAAGGTTGTAAGTTTATCTGTGTTTTTATTGGGAAACGTTTCTTTATGCATTCAGGAG